TGGAATTCCGTTCTCCAAGTCCAGAGCATTTGGGATTGAAAATCCTTTTACTTCAGTTTTGTGTGAATTGAGTACACCAGCTAAGGGACTAGCTGGTGTAGTGGTTTTACTGCTCACTATGTTTTGGTTTGGTTACCCGATTCCCGATCCCTGACATCGTCGACTGTGGTCCGGTTACCATTCAATCACTCAATTGTGCAGCTGTTGACATTACGGAAGTGTCAGGGGTCTCGCGCCTGAAACCTGATATCTGTAGTAGAAACGTGTCTAGTACAGATCCTGTCAAGATATGTGGTAAGTGCCATGTATTATTATACTTGTTGAGATCTGTTGTAGAAGGCCTCTATGACTTTTCTTGCTTGCTTATGTGATAGGTTGATTGCTATTGCAGATTTTGGCTGACCACTGTGGACACTCTGTCCAGAGGTAGCTCAGCATGATCAATAACTATAGGAACTTTGTAATGAAACCAAGGTCTGGTGTGAATGATGTTGTTGGAGCTGACATGAGTGTCCAGTGTGTTGACTGAGTGCTTGAGGTGATTCCCAGACTGCAGTGGATGACTGCCTTTGGTTTCTAATGATTGAGAGAGCTGGACCACAGTATAAACCACCTTTGGTGTTGATCAATATCTGGACTGCAGTTAATACTGCCTTCAGATGATGTCAATGAGCAGTGATACAACACATGCACTACAATAGAAGCAATGTCTTGCAATTGCTACTGTTGACAAACTACTAAGTATACTTATGTGAAAGTGATAGCTAGTATGATATGCTGTGGAGTGGATGCCGATCCACTCACTGGCTATGACGAGGAACATGGTTATATACCATCCTTGCAGTGTCACCTGCGATGCTGCTCCTGTTCTGGGAGGCCTCTTCAACCCTGCTCCTCCTCCTTGTCCCTCCTATCCTCTCCTTCCACCTTGTGATGTCGTTTGTTGGCACCGCTTCTCTCGCCTTCTGTGGATGGATGGTCCTCTTGCAGCCCCATCATCTTCAGGGGCCAGTCCCACTTCATCTGAGTGGCAACTCACACCCTTTCATCACCCTCCTGTCATTGGCACCCACCTGCTTGCACCAACTTCACCATCATGCAAGGCCCCTACTTCATCCAGTGGTGACCTCTCCCTTGTTTGTTATCCTCCTCTTGCCATATTGGCAATAGAGGCACCTCTCAAACCAATTCTTGTGAGGTCTGTCATATGAGCATGGTATTACCATTCCTACTGAACTCTGTAGTAACTACCTTGTTCCTACCAATCCTGACAAGTTCTGCCATAGAGCCTTTGGTTCTACCAATCTCACTGAGCTTTGTCAGAACTCTCCTTTTGCCCGATCCACGATTATCACGCAAGGTCACTTCATATGAATCCGTTTCCTGCGCATCCATCCAGTCCTGTGACAGGAAGCTCGTTGTCATGGGACTGGATGCGCTGGAAGCAGGAAGACCTGTCAAGTCATATAAAGGAGAGCACAGGAATCAAGGAATCAGGCAGATTGTGGGATTTGCAGTAGAGTTCACTGAGATCTGTAGTAGAAACAGCTCTATGGCAAATCTTGCCTAGATTGGCACAAGCAAAGTGTCACGGCAGCCGGTCGGCCGAAATGGAGTCTGCGCCATCTGCGCAGACAGAGAGGTTAAAATGGTTGAAGGGCTGCATAAGAACCTGACTCGGCAGTTCCCAAGGAGATCCAGTAGGAGACCGTAACTCACTGGATATTGGGGACTACTGGTGGCAGGAACAGATGGGAGGGTTGTCGAGCAACACCACTCTGTGGTACACATGGGAAGTCATTGTCATTGATCAATGATGATCAGACATGTGATGAATTGCTAGGGAACAATCACTCTGGAAGTGTAGTTGGTTTGGCAGCTTGGGAAGGTGCTGAAGTCAGCCTTACCAAGCAAGCCCTGAGCAGTGCCACACGCAGGTCATGTGGTGGTGCCAGATCATGTCCTTGATACAGTGTTGTATATATACTATCTCCCCATGCTATTGGATGAGCAGAGACTCATCCACTCTACAAAACTTTCACAGTTATCATAGCCATACGTTCTACTACACGAACAGTAACATTCTTTCTACATCGCACATCGCAATATCATCTATTGTGATCATTGCAAGTCTGAGCCTTCGTCATCGAATGAAGAGTATTGTAAACGATGTCGTCGACACCTACATCAGCACTGTAGCACCTCAACTACAGGCAGAACCTCCACTGCGGGCCTGGAACCTCTACCAGTCCCTATAACCTAACTGCTGCCAGCAACAATGACCAAGCACTAGCTCCATCACTAACAGTGCTACATTGACATCTCGACACTTGTGCCAATGTTGCACTACACCATTGCTAGGAGCTGACCTTGTCACATTACCTCTGTACAGAGTGCCAACAGCAGTTAGTCAACATCCATTCCCCAGGCCTCACTCATTGGGTATCATGGGTAACCATTCAGGAGAGCCTCCTCATCGGTTCTCCAAGAAGTACACTCAGTCTACCCACCCTATCGGAACTCACTGAGTTCCACTGAGACGGCCCATTCCGCAGGGAGTCGGGTGTTAGGCACACGACCACTGACACAAAGATGGTACCATGAATCCTGCCAGGATCTGTAGTAAACATGATTGTATGACAGATCCTGCAGAGATTAGTGGCAAGGATGATCATATGACAGATCCTGCAGAGACTAGTGGCAAGGACATGTGAGGTTGCCACTGAATAAGGTAGAGGCCCTACAAGACAATGAAATTGGCATAAGAGGATGGGTGCCAGAGTCAGGAGGTAGATGAAATAGGGGGGTGCATTGCCACAAGGATGAAGTGGGGCAAACCCTATCAACAATGAGATGGTGCTGGCTCTCCTCGACCCAGGAGCAGGAGAAGCAGGGCCTGGTAAGGAGGAGACACCTTGGTAGAGACCTCTACCACAGTACTCAATGAAGAGGGTACTCTCTGGAGAGAGAGCTGGAGCAGAGCCACAGGCAACACTGCAAAGATGTATATAACCATACCTTCTTGTCATAAGTGGTTGAGTGGATCCCCATCCACTCTACACCATACATTACTAGTTATCACTTCATCATAAGTATACTTAGTAGTTTCCATCAGCAAGTTGCAATCACAATTGATTGCTTCCATTGTAGCACATGTGTTGTATCACCACTCACTGACAATCCAAAGGCAGTTCATAGTAACCTGTGGTCCAGATAACAATCAACAATGAAGGTGGTTCATAGTAACCTGCAGTCCAGCTCATGATCATAGAACCAAAGGCAGTCATCCACTGTGGTCTGGGAATCACCTCAAGCACTCAGTCAACACACTGGACACTTGTGTTGGCTCCAACAACATCATTCACACCAGACCTTGGTGTCATTACAAAGTTCCTATAGTTATTGATCATGCCAAGCTACCTCTGGATGGAGTGTCCACAGCAGTTAGTCGAAACCTGCAATAGCAAACAATCTATCACAGATTCAAACAAGGAAAATCATAGAGGCCTTTCTATGACATATTTCAACAAGAACAATAATACACAGCATTTTTACTACAGATCTCAATATGATTGGTAGTAGTACTCATTCTACCACAGATTTCAGGTTTCTGGTGTGTGACCTCTGACACTTGTGTGAAGACAGACGCTGTTGCACCACACCCTGGTGTAGTCTCAAGTAGGTTTGCTAGGACCTTGATCATGCTGTGCTACCACTGGACAAAGTGTCCACAGCAGTTAGTCAGAATCCATTGTAAATCTGTGTTACAATCCATTCCAGCAAGAAAGATCATAAAAGGCTTATACAATAGATATCACCAAGAAAGATCCCAGTAGGCTTTTACAATAGATTTCAGGTTCCAGGCATGCAACTGCTGACACTTCGCAGACATAGACATAGAGTAGGGGATTTCAATTTAATTATTTTTTTCAAAAACTCAAGTTTTTGTTGAGTTTTCACTTGCATTGAATATTCATTACTTACATAAGCTCTGCCATTTTGAAAAATACTCCAGTTTCTGAAAACACTGCTTCAGCAGTACTCATGCAGCAGAGTTTTCAAAATTGGACCTAAGTTTTCACTCACAAGATGTTGCACATGTTCTCATCACACAAATGCCTCCACTTTTCCTGCACAGCTTGTTTTGCATGAATCCACAGTGTCAATAATGACTGTATCTATTTTGATTGTGTGACAAGAGTGTCAAAGATGGTGGAGCTACAAGGTGGTTTGGATTCTGGAACTGCTTCATTTTCTGGCTGACACTTCATTTTCCAGCCAACACTGCCCTCCCTTGGTTGGTTTTTAAAAACTCACCCTCTGAAAACTCAGCTTACATTTGGGGTCACCAATTTCCTGAGCCTTTTTGAGTATTGGAATACTCTAGTTTTCAAGGGCAAAAAAAAAACTGAAACCCCCTATTGAGCGGGTTGTGATGCGTGTGGCCCAGCTCGGATGTGCACGCCATGTCACATGCAGCACACGGTTTGTTCGAGAGCGGGGCAAGCCAACAAGGTGACATGCGTGCGTGTGTGTGCGTGTGTGTGCGTCTCTCGAGCCTTGTTTCTTCTGTTGTGTGATGTGCAGGCGAACTGACTTGTTCTTCTGCCTCTCACTCATCGGAACAGCCGACGCACACACCTTCTGCATCCACCATCTGTCACTTCTCTACCTCCCACGCTACAAGCAAGTGTAGCTGCTGCTAACTTAACGTCAAATTAGTCTCCACCTGCACAGCTCAGCAGACCACGAGATCTCCCAGCTGCTGCAACTCCCGCCAACCATCGCGCAGCCACTTGCATCAAGCAGTAGCGCTTCTGCTTCTCTTCCACCCACATCTTCTTGTAGCTCAGCCACCGTCAAGCGACAAGCCTAGAGCTTAGCCTCAGCTTCATAGGGGCAATTGCGGCTGTGAATACATTATTCAAGGATCCTCTTCTCCCCGTTGCTTCTGGGCCGTTGTCTTCATTTCGTCGTTAACTTGGGCATCAACCTCACGCATGTCATCCTCGCATATACTCACAGACGGCGAGGCCTCGTCTCAGCGTGCCTCCATCTCCAGCGATCATTCCGAGATTCCTTCCAATTCCCAAGCTGGCAAACATGCTTCCCCTTCCAACGATCCAGTAGCGCTTCCGTCTACCTCGACCGGCGATGCTCCATCACCAAACACACAACCCATAGCTGAGCTCGACGCCGACTCACAACCCTCCCTCCACGGTGACCACCCTACCATCCGTGCTCATGGCCTCCATCTGATCTCGAGACCCAACACCGCCAGCACCACAGCTTCCTTCGCCTCCGCCCTTGCAGAGCCGCCAGCACGACCTTCCATCGCAAGTGCTTCCAGCTCACGTCACACCTCCCCCAAGAAGTCTGGCCCGTCACGCATTGGGAGAAGCTTCGAAGCTCTGCTAGCCTCCGACGAGACTTACGTCTTGAAAGAAAGATCAAAGGTAGCCCTGGACACTGAAGATAGCCTCGACAGTCGCAACGGTCTTACACCAGTACCCGCCTTGCTTGGGTCCCCATCTGGTTCGAATAGGGTCATTGTCGAACGTCGAAGGCAACGCTCCTCGTCATCATTGACAAGCAACGGCATTGACGACATCGACGAAGAGCGAGCGGACGTGATACCACGTCCACCAGACGCCGCCGTCTTCCAATCATCTTTGCAGCAGCCTAAGCCTCAGCCATCGACTTCCACTTCGACTAGCACCGTACACCGATCGATATCGAGAGGAATCAGCGCCAACGGCAGCAAACCACCAGCTTCACCAGACAGGACTACCTCGCTGCAACGTCGTCTGGCTGCCTCGCCGAGCGCAGTCTCCACCGCTTCGACACGAAAGGCAGCACCCATGTCGGCTATGCCTGGCTTAATGCTCCCTCCTGAAAGCGAATCACCAGGACGAGCACGCCCCCGACTCAGCAACAGTCTTGGCCTTGAGCAAGAGATCAACAGCACATACGCTGCCGATCAAGGGAACTCGATGGGATCCTTCCGACAGCAAATGAAGAAGACCAGCGGCTTCTTGCGCAAGCTGCGTAAAGACAACACGCCAGTACGCCGCGAGAAGGATGCTGCCAAGCACAGCGGCTCTGGCTCACCAGGAGCTGCCTACTCGATCGGCTCTAACCCGTCTGCCACCTCTCTGGGCCGCAGCGAGGGGACCATAGGGGCCACGACCTTGGGTCGAAGGGAAAGCAAGGCAAGCGTGCTCAGCGGCTCATCTGCCACCGGCAGTACGTCGCATTCGATGTACAAGCAAAGCGCGCTCTTCACGTCCACAGAAGGGGTCGCTGTTCCCAGCATCCCAGAGCGATTCATGCAGCACTCGAGCAGCGTTAGCTCGCATATAACGGCCCCATTGACAGATGTCGAGCCTGCAATGTCAGAGCGAAATCCTGGCGTAGCTGCGGATCAGCAAGAATTGGCTCCATCAGTCAGGTCCGGACTGCGCGTGCCATCAGCACCTGCGACCATTACCGAGTGGGGTTTGGCGGCCAAGGTCCCGTTGCCTCAACGTTCGAGCTGGCAAGGACACGATCGACTCAAGTCGCTCGGATCGAGTGACTCGAGTGGTGCCATTCGCTTGGCTGTTCAGCAACTCGAGTCGCACATGGATGACGCACTTAAGGAAGACCAAGCTCAGAAAATCCAAGTAGCTGTGCCGAAACAGGTATCGAAGCCCAAACAACAATGGGGACCGTCTCCGCAGCTACCGGATCTCGACATCGAGCACTACAGAGAGAGATCGGGCAGCTTCATCGAGGAGTCGGATCTTGTGTCTTCCGAAGGGTATGATCACAAGGCGTCCTATCCCACAACACCAGTTACAGCGGATTCTTATCCCGACAACACTAGGAACGGCCGTGAGGGAGTCGCAGCTACTGGTCTCGGCATCGTGGCTGGCGCGAATTTTCCTGGTGCCGCGGCAGGCAAGGCAGTTGAGAATGGCGCGGGCGAGGCTGCAACTATCAAGGCACCAAGCAAACCCAAACCCCCGCCGTTGGTCGGAATGCTTAGACGATCCAGTGCATCGAATAGCGCTGAGTCGCCAAAGGACCTTTCCAGCTCAGCTCGAAGCAGTCAGCGTAACTCGATCGATCCTGTTGCCGAGATTCAGGTGCCACGCCGCACTGCTCATTCCGGTGCTAGCTTGACCAGCGTCCGCTCGTTTGAGACGGCGGCTGAGAGTGCAGGTCTTGATAGCGCAGATCCGAAAGTCACCTCGTTCATTTTGCCCAACGGTAAAAAGCTATCTGATCCGATTAAAGCCTCTTACGAGCAGGCCAACGGCCTTGAGGGCTCGCCCCTGGTCAAGGAAGGGCAGCGACTTCCACGGCCTCCGCAAGCGGACGGCAAGAACGGTGCCAACATCGCTGATGTATCTAGCCACGGTGTTGACGCTGATAACAACGAAGATCAGGAGCAGAGCATTCGCCTGGTGACCAAGTGCTCTAACACCGAGGATCTCAACGCGGAATCCAGCCCACTCGAATTAGGCTCTACTACAATCATTACAGTTCCCGCATCGCCAGGCATGGGTTCAACAGCACTACCCAAGATGGTCGATCTGTCTGAGCAATCTTTCCTTCGTCCAGGACGTAATGGTAGCATTAGTCGCGGGTACTCCGCATCTTCGAGTTCTGTCAGAGCTGGTAGCGGATCCCTACTTCGAACTCCATCTGTACGAAGAAGCCCTTCGCCAATCTCATCGCCGACATCTGCCAGAACGAGCTTTGACGGGGCTCCACGGTCAGTGACGAATGACGACATGGTTGCGACACCTACCGTAGCTGCATCCGCACAAGAGCTGGCGACAAAGTGCTGGGAAGAAGAGCCGGCTGTCTTGAAGCGAGAGAAGATCGCAGAGTGGTTGGGAGGGTTGGGTTTGGTCAACCGTGCAGCGCGCACGTACTACTTTGCCAACTTTGACTTTAGTGGGCTGAGGCTGGATGTTGCTTTCCGTAGACTCTGCGATAAGCTGTTCTTGAGGGCGGAGACGCAGCAGATCGATCGTATCTTGTCTGCCTTTTCGCAGCGGTACTACGAGTGTAATCCGGACTCGGTGTTTGGGAGCTCGGATGTGATTCATTCGGTTGTCTTCAGTATTCTGTTGCTTAACACTGATCTTCATATCGCAAAGCTGCAGGAGAGAATGACAAGGCAGCAATTCGTACGGAACACACTTAGCGCTATTGCAGAGAGCAGCACTGATGCGCCCACGGTTCATGCACAGGATGATGGGAGGAGCAGTTTCAGTCATGCTCATAACGATGTGACTCGGAGTATGGATGCTTTCCCTCAAACTGTCTCTGCTCAGCATCGGAACAGCATCAGTAGCTATCTGGGTAGTCGATCTAAACAAACATCAAGCTCAACGAATTTGGAATCGTCTTCAGACGCTCAGCATCCGGATAGCTCTAGACCGGGCACTGCTATGAGCGGTAACAAGAGTAGAGATGCGGAGATAGAGAAAATGCTTAAAGATATCTATGCTGCGGTCAAGAACGAGCGGATTTTGCTGCCCAGTCCAGAGGGAGGGAGTGGAACGGTGGCTGCTGGAAGAACATCTGGTACTTTCGCGCCTAATGGAGGAAGGAGGAAGGTTGGAAAGGGTAGTGATCGGATGACTGCGCTCAAGAGGGGTTCTATTAGGGGTATTCAGGGGCTGTTAGGTGGAATGGGGTCCAATCCATCCCTAGTGGAATCCTCGGTCAATCCCAACCCGATAAGGTCTTCGGTCGATCCTTGGGGTCGCACTGCACAGTCTTTGGGTGTGTCGAGTGGGGATCGTATGCTGCCTCCGCTGCCTAGCATTACGCCAGGCTTTGCTAGCACTTTGACGCAAACTATCATCAAGGAGTCGATGAAGGAAGAAGCTGCAGCAAGCGGCACCGTCAATTCTTCGTCTAGCAAGGCTGAGAATGCGGTGGACGAGGAAGAGGATGACGATAAGTTGGCACTCGCAGGTCCACCGTGGGCAAAAGAAGGTAGTCTGACACGAAAGCATTACTGGGAGGCAACCGGAAAGCGCGCGAAGGATAAAGCATGGACGGAAGTGTTTGTGGTCGTTTCTAAGGGTACGCTGTCCATGTTTAGGTTCGATAGTGGGTCTTCTTCAGCTTCTACCGGTACATCGTCCAAGGCGAAAAGTCAACGTTCAGCAGCAGGAGCTGGGATAGGTGGAGGCAATTGGCTTTCCAACGCCACTTGTTTGGGTGAGATTCCTCTCGCTCATTCCCTCGCAAACGCACTTCCGCCTCCGGGGTATAACAAAAATCGACCGCATGTCTTTGCGCTTACATTGCCAGGTGGGGAGGTGTACTTCTTTCAAACCGGTCACGAGGAGTTGGTGAATGAGTGGGTTAGCACGTGCAACTATTGGGCTGCTCGACAATCGAAAGAGCCTCTAGCGGGTGGTGTTAGTAATATGGAGTATGGCTGGAACAAGGTTTTGCCTCAACCTAGTGAGGATGAGTTTGAGGAGCTGGACTCCTTTGGCGATTCCTCGATGTCTCAGCATCAGTATCAGCAAGCAGACGCAAGGAGCATTAAAAGTGGAAAGAGCTCAAAGAGGAAAGGTTATTCGTCTCCTTCTCCCTCCAGTCGCGATCTCAACAGCGGTCTCAGCTCGGCCGCTCCTTCGATTAGCACCTCCAACAACGCAGGATTCATGTCGAACGAACGAACATTCATAAACGAATGGCAAACTCCCCAACTCCCCACCGTACCCTCCACACTCAGTGAAGAAAGGCAACTGGCACGATTGGAAAAGCAGGTGGCAACAATTGTAAGCGAGTTGACCCTTCACAACGAGCTCCGACAACCAATGCTTCAACTCTACTCCCCTCGTGGAGCAAATTACAACAAAGCATTGGCCAATTGGGAGCGAAAGAGCAACCATCTTTTGCAGGAGCTGGTTAAATACCAGTCCCACGTAGAGGCGCTCAAGAGGAGTGGAGATTTGAAGGCAGAAAGAAGGGCGAAGAGGGAGGTGGAGGGAATGATCGAGGATGGTGATGCTATGTTGGCTGAGCTTACAATTTAGCGTTTTGCAATGTCACAGAAGGGGTATCTGAGTTTTTGCGTTTTTAAAAACCCGGGTTTTTTGAAAAACGCGCTTTTCAAAAAAAAAAAACGCAAAAGCTTACATAAGCTGCGCCAAACCAAAGAAAATAAAATAAAAATAAAAAATAAACAGGGGGTTTCAAGTTTTTTTTTTTTATTTTTATTTTATTTTATTTTTTTTTTTTTTTGGAAACTCATGTTTTTTTTTGAGTTTTCACTTGTGTCGAATATTCATTTCTTATGTAAGCTCTGCCATTTTGGAAAATACTCTAATTTTTGAAAACACTGCTTCAGCTGGACAGTTGTGGCAGCATTTTCAGAATTGGACCTGAGTCTTCACTCACATGATGTTGCACATGATGCTGCACATGATTTACTTGCACAAATACCTCCACATTTCCCATGCAGCTTTCTTTGCATGAACCCTTTCATCTGTGCAAAACCCTTTCACTTGACTCCTCTCCTTGTCCCTTTCTGCACAAAGTAGAAGTCTCTTTTTGTTTAGCCACCACCTTACAACTGTCAGGGGTCTCGCGCCTGAAACCCAGGTCAGTCTGTCGAGATACTCGGTGACTATCAAACTGTGCAACAGCTATTGTCTCAGTATCAGTCTCGACGAGCTAGTTGCTCAGCAACTATCAAGTTGCACAATGGGTGGCATTCATAGTATATACTATCATAGGTTTCGGCTGACCTCTGTGGACACTCCATTCAGGGGTAGCTTGGCACAATCAATATCAATACATAGGTTATGTTGACACCAAGATCTGGTGTGAGTGTTGATGATGATGAGGTTGATGGTGTTGGTGATAAGGTTGGTGGCATCAACACAAGTGTCCAGTGTGTTGACTGATGCTTGGAGTGATCCCCAGACTGCAGTGGACTACTGCCTTCAGTTCTATCTTAATCCAGACCACTGGTTTGCTATGAACTGCCTTTGGACATCAGGTAGTGGTGGTACAACACACACACTACAAGGAGGAGCAATCTATCAATTACTACTATGCTGACTGAACTAATGAATACTTATGCTTCTGAAGTAATACTAGTTATGTTGTGTGTAGAGTGGATGGGAATCCACTCAACCATTTGTGACAAGAAGGTATGGTTATATACCTCTTCACAGCATTGCCAGCAACACTGCTCTGGCTCTCTCTGCAGAGAGTACCCTTGCTGTCGAGTACTGTACCAGAGTCTCCACTGAGACTCCTCCCCCTCATCAAGCCTTGTTGCTCCTGTCTTTCTTGAGCTGTATCGACTCCATCAATACTGCTCCTCCTCCTCATGACCTGTTTGCTGGTGCCTGCCACACAGCTCCTCTTCCTTCAACCAGCAATGGTTCTCTTGTCTGCATATCTCCTGAGCCCCTGAGCGGTAACTGTCTGCATGCTTCATGAGCTCGGTCCCTGTCTTGGCAGTGCTCGATCCTCCTCACTTGCGAGCATAGTCCCTCTCACATGTGAAATCATCGTACAAATGTCATTGTCACTGATCTCAGCGAAATCCACCATACTATTGTACTTTCTGCAGATTCTGGTAGGATCTGTGATATCAACTTCATTTGGGCATATCCTGATGAGATCTGTCATAGAACCATGTCTACTACCAATCTCACTGAATTCTTCTGTAAATCCACCGAGCTATCCGATCCCTCGATTCCTGCGCTACCTTCATATGACCTGTCGGGTCTTCCTGCTTCCTGCGCAATCAGGCCCATGACACCAGGTAGACAGGGGTGGACAGAGAGGCCACACCTTGTCAAGAAGGAAGGCTGTGGCAAGGTCAACACCATGGTGTTGAGATATATATAGGCCCCTTCCATCATAGTGAATGAGTGGATCTGGTATCCACTCCATTCTTAACTAACTATACTCTAACTGTAATGTATACTTAGTTGTTCCTTCACATAGTTGCAATCACAGGCTGTTGCTACTAATCTGAGCAGGTGTGTTGTATCACCCCTCACTGACGTCGTCTGTAGGCAGTAGTTACTGCAGTCTGGATACCTATTCCCCAAAGGCAGTACCCCTACTGCAGTCCAGTTTTTCCCCTTCACTTCGCCCTCTGGTTGTCGACACTGCAAACACTCATATCGAGCCAATGTTACCCTAAGGCCTCCTGCAGCAGACAGGAGCTAGACTGTGCCATGCTACCACTGGACCAAGTGTTCACAGTGGTTAGCCAAAACTCATCAGGTAAGCAGCCTCCAAGCAGTCTTAGTGAAAGTGGCTGACAGGTGCACACTCAAGAGAGTTCATTGAAACTGGTTGAAATCAATCGATCCGGTAGATCTCGGGTTTCAGGCACGCGATCGCTGACAGTGTGCCTGAAACCCAGAATCTACTGTAAAAGCCGACTAGGAGCAGCCTTGGTGAGATCTATTGTATGAGCTCTTTGCAATCTCTTCTGCTGGAATAGATTGTAACACTGAGTTTGAACAAATTCCGACTGCCAGCAGTCGCATGCCAGAAACCCGAAATCTATGGTAAAGGTCGATTAAACCCAACCTCAGCAAAATCTATTGTAGAAGCCTTCTATTACTGTTCTTGCTGGAATCTGCTATAGAAGCCTTCTATAATATTTTTCACTCATATAGCTTGTAACTGAGAGTTATCACAGATTTTGACTAACTGCTGTGGACACTACATCCAGAGGTAGCTTGGCACAATCAATGTCCAGGTGGACTCCTTACAATGCTGAAGAGTGATATGAATATGTTGTCTCAACACGAGTGTCCAGTGTGTTGATGATTGATTGAGTTGGTTGATCCCCAGACCGCAGTGGACAACTGCCCCTAGTATAAGATCGAGAGGGCCAGACTGCAGGATGAAACCACCTTTAGTGTCAATTGATATCCAGACCACAGAGAGTACTGCCTTTGGATGGCATCAAGTAGTGGTGATACAACACATGCACCAGATAGATGCAATGCTCTGCAATTCCAACTGTTGGCAGAAACTACTAAGTATACTTGTGTTGAAGTTATAGCTAATAAATGTAAAGTAGAGTGGATGAGGATCCACTCAACTACTATGACAAGAAAGCATGGTTATATAGATGTCTTTGCAGTGTTGCCTGCGACACTGCTCCGTTTCTCTCTAGAGGTGTACCCTCTGTGTTGAGCACAGTTTTCTCCCGCTCCTTGGTGGTCGAGGAAAGCTAGTGTCACTTCATTGTTGATAAGGGTCGCCCCCACTTCATCCAAGTGTAAGGTGCACCCCTCTTTCAACATGCCCCTAACCATGGTGCCCATTGTATTACACCAAGTTCATTGTCACATAGGGCCCCTACTTCATCAGGTGGTAAGCCCTACTTTGTCTGTTGTCCTCCTACCATGAGATCGGTGATAGAGGCATCCTCTAATCAGTTCCTACAAGATCTGTCATATGGGTGTGGCTCTACTGATCCCACCAAATTCTGTAGTAAGATCACTCTCTTACCAATCTTGACAAATTCTGTTGTAGAGTCTCGATATGACCAATCTCACTGAACTCTGTCAGAACTCTCTATTTGCCCGATCATCGATTCCTCTGCATGGTCTCTTCATATAATTCTAGTTCTTCCTGCGCAGCCATCCGGTCCCATGACACCGAAAAAACTAACCGCTGTGGGCACTCTGTCCAGTGGTAGCGCGGTGTAAGAGGTCGTGCCCCTGAAACCAGATTGTGTGTTTCCAGTTGTCCTCGGTGAGATCACCTGAGCAAGCCCTATTTGGTTTGTTGTGGACACTCTGTCCTGTGGTAGCACAACATGATCAAGGTCCTAGCAAACCTACTTGAGACTACACCAGGCTGTGTGTCATAGGGCCGGATGCACAGAAGCGGGAAGAACGGAGGTCATATGAAGAGGAGCACAGAAATCACAGGATTGGGCAAAATAAGGGTTACAGCAGAGTTCATTGAGATCTGTAGTAGAGGGGCTCTATGACAGATCTCGCCCAAATCAGCATGAGTGGGGTCATATCACAAATCCCACCAAATTCAGTAATATCTAGATCATAGGATAGATCTCACTGTAGCTGGCAAGATCATGCCAATACTCACAGGCCACACAGGCAGGACAAGGTGTTGTAAGCATTGGGTCCATCACCCAGATGAAGCAGGGGACCAACCAAATGATGAACTTGGATCAGGAGGGTGGTGTCATGGGCCTGGATGCTCAAGAAGCAGGAGGGTCATGGGTTCATATGGATGGAGCACAGGTATCGAAGATCTAGTCGAGATCAAAAAAAAAAAAAAAAAAAAAAAAACCATGGACTCCTATGGACTCACATGCAAAGGAGGGCCAAGCACAGCCACGAGGAGGACCAAGCTCAAGGAGCAGGCACAGCCACGAAGAGGACCAAGCTCAAGGAGCATGCAGATGGTTACCACTCAGGGGCTCGAGAGACAAGAGCCAAAGGAACTGTCACTGATCAAAGGAGGAGGAGCAGTGTCGAAGGAGTCGACACCAGGTCATGAGGAGGAGGAGCAGTGTCGAAGGAGTCAACATCAGGTCATGAGGAGGAGGAGCAGTGTCGAAGGAGTCGACACCAGGTCATGAGGAGGAGGAGCAGTGTCAAAGGAGCCGACACAGCTCAAGAGGCACAGGGGTGCCAAGCAGGAGAGGCCCCTGAGCAGTACTCGATGAAGAAGGTACTCTCTGGAGAGAGAGCAGGAGCAGCATCGCTGGCGATGCTGAGAAGAGGTATATAACCATGCTTTCTCATCATCATAGGTCGAGTGGATCCTCATCCACTCTACTCACCATACAACTAGTCAATACTTTAGAAACACAAGTACTCATTAGTTACAGTCAGCATAGCAGCAATCTATCAAGGTTGCTCCTCATCATAGTGTGTGTGTTGTATCACCACTACCTGACATCCGAAGGCGCCCATAGCAGGTTAGCGGTCCGGATATAGATAGAACCGAAGGCAGTAGTCCACTGCGGTCTGGGGATCACTTCAAGCATCAAGTCAACACACTGGACACTCATGTT